GAATAATATTTAGTAATCAGAATAAAATGAATACATAAAATGCACTATAAGGCAGCCTATAAGTGCCATAGGTGAGGAATGAATAGGAACTACTTCAGAGGAGTGTTCCACTTAGAAGCTGCAATATGAGACAGGCCTTCAAGGATTTCAACAGATTTTAGGTTTGATAGAGGGAATGGAAGGCATTTGTTGCAGGCAAAGAGGCAACTTAATAAGTTGACTCCTTTGTAAAAAGCTAGCAGGAGTTACAGCAAGTAGTTTGGTATACGTGTAAGGGTATAGTGAAAGGTAAGGCTAGAAAAGTGGGATGGAGATACATAATTGGGCAAGTGCCAGATTGAGCAGTTTGTACTAAATTTGATGGGGAACTATTGATAGTTTTAAAAATTGGGTGGAGTCATGATCTGGCCAATGCTTTAGGAAGATGGTTTTGGCAAGAACACAAGACGGACTGAAGGGAAGGCAACTAAGCAGGAGACCAGACAGGAGAGCACAGCAAAAGTCTCAACCTAGGTTAACCAATACCTGACCTAGGGTCGTGGCAATAGAGCTAGAGAGGTGGGGGCAGATGGAACGGTCACTGTGTAGAAAGTACAGTATTTGTACCTGTGCAGTCCAATATAGTATCTCATAGTCAAGGCTCTTTAAATGTAACTTTAATTAAAATCAAATAGGATTTAAAATTTAGGCCGGGCATGTGGCTCACGCCTGTAATCCCAGCACTTTGGGAGGTCGAGGCGGGCAGATCACGAGGTCAGGAGATTGAGCCCATCCTGGCCAACACAGTGAAACCCTGCCTCTACTAAAAATACAAAAATTAGCTGGCCTTGGTGGCCTTTGCTTGAAGTTCCAGCTACTCGGGAGGCTGAGACAGCAGCGAATTCGCTTGAACCTGGGAGGTGGAGGTTGTAGTGAGCCAAGACTGTGCCACTGCACTCCAGCCTGGTGACAGAGCAAGACTCTGTCACACACACACACACACACACACACACACACACACACACACACACAAAAATTAGTTCCTCTATTGCATTAGCTGCATTTAAAATGCTCAATAGCCATATGTGACTCCTGTATTGGACTATGCAGATAAAGAACATTTCCATCACAGTGCAATGTTTATTGAACAGTGCAGCTCACTATGCTTTAGGGACTAATTGGGCGTAGAATGAGGAAGATGGATTAAAGGAGGCTTCGGTTTGGCAGCTGAGCGACTGAGAAAGGTAGTGCCATGAACAGAAAAGAGGAAGTCAGGAAGAGGAGGAGCTGGATTTACGAAGAAAGGTGTCGTTTAGCTTCTGTCAAATACCAGGTCAGATAAAGTGTCTACCAAATGGTCAGATATCCCTGGTGAAAGGAAAGGGCAGGGAAAGCAAAGTGCCCGTTGTGTTCTCCCAAAGCTTGTAAAGGAGCCCTGGGAGGATTTAATTGGTTTATCCCCTCCTGCACTCAGTTTCTCCCGTTTGTGAAGCTCCCTGAAGATCATGAGTGGGCAATCCAGTTCCTCAACCTCTCCAAACCAATGGTTCACATATACTGTGAGGAGGACAGAAGCACAAGGGCTTTGCTGTTTTCTTAACTCCTTGGAGCCAGCCTGAACCTTTTTCTCACAGATACTTTGTGCTTCCTCTCCCCTAACCGCCTTACTCACCCTTCCCCATGCTCAACCTTTGGAAAGTCCCCTTGCCCTCACTTGTTTGATTACTTCCTCTCAAACTACTTCTCACAGGGACCACACCAAACCAGTGACTCCACCACTTGCCCTCTCTTCCCTCCCAGCTTAAATTCCAAGGTCTATCACCATAATGACTCCCTTACATAATACTCCTACCCTCTCATCGGCTTTCCCCAGCAAAACTCAGACCTGGTCAAATACAATTCTCCTCCAACCCCCAAGCAATGGAATGTGGCTGGAGGAGAATCACACGGCCTTGCTGAGTGGTCTCACTTTAATGTATGACCATCGACTCAAGAGGGCACTCAGCATTGCCCATACTATGCTTCTCTAGTTACTTTTCCACCCTTCAAGGCGATTATTTTTCACTTTCTTCTATCTCCTTTAATAGCAAACAGCTTTTCGTTGTTTAAAGAACAGATCTTACCTCATCAATCCCAGTGAGGCAGCCAGTACACATGGCACTCAGTGGAAACTGGGAAAAGGTGCATACGTGTGTGTGTGTGGGTATGCATGTGTGTGTATGCGCATGTGTGTGTGTTATATGCAGGACTGCTAAAATGCACCACCTCTCCTGGTGGAGCAATCAGAAAGGTACCCCTTCCTCAAGGCTGATGTGACCCCACCAGGGCACATGGCTTTGCCGGCAAAGCAAGGGCTACATTTCAGCTCCTACTTGCCACCTCTGCTCTGCAGGGGCCTGAGTGTGCCACCACCAAATGTACTGCCTAATCTATCTGTATCTGCACCCAGACACTCTACCTTCTCTCCAGAAATAGCGTGTGAATGCATTCCCTTACTCCTATCCTAGGCCAACCCTTTCACTTGTGTGCTAGATCCAATTGCTTCTCACCTACTTGAAGACACTCTCTCCAGTTGTCTCCTCTTGCCTTCTGTGTCATCAATTTTACCTCTCTAAAGAATCATTCCAGTTGGGCGCGGTGACTCACGCCTGTAATCCCAGCACTTTGGGAGGCCAAGGCGGGTGGATAACCTGAAGTCGGGAGTTCTAGACCAGCCTGGCCAACATGGAGAAACTCTGTCTCTACTAAAAATATAAAATTAGCCGGGTGTGGTGGCGCATGACTATAATCCCAGCTGCTTGGGAGGCTGAGACAGGAGAATCGCTTGAACCAGGGAGTTGGAGGTTGCAGTGAGCTGAGATTGCACCACTGCACTCCAGCCTGGCAACAGAGCAAGATTCTGTCTCAAAAAAAAAAAAATCATTCCAGCATACCAAAATGAGAAAAAGCATTTATCATCTTAAAATACCCTCCCTTGATCTCAAGTACCTCGCTGGCTACTGCCCTTTTCACCTTCACAGCAAAGTCTCTCAAGAGCTGTTTGGAACACTTTCTCTTCCTCACCTCCTATCCTATTAACATACCCTAATCAGACTTTCTCCCCTATGACTCCACTGAAACTGTTTTCATCAAGGTCATCAGCAACTTCATCAGGCCACATCCAGTGTTCAAATTCTCTTTCCTTATCTTACTAATTTCAGCAGTATCTGATAAGACTCTTCACTCCCTCCTTCCTGAAACAATTCTCTTGTTTTCCAACGCTTCACCTTCTCCTGGTGCTCCTGCCCTGACTGGTAGCTCCTCCTTTTCTACTTACCTTTCTAGTGTTGGAGTGCCTCTTCGTCCTTTCCTTCAGCTATCTCCTCTCCCTATGTGATCCTAACTAGACTTAAGACTTAAAAAGTATCTATGTGCTAATGAATCCCAAATGTGTCTCTCTAGACTCATACATCAGTTGCTTATTCAACATCTCCATTTGGATGTATAATAGGCACCTTAAACGTAACGTGTAAGAAAAGACTCTTAAGTTCCTCATCCCCAAATCTGCTCCTCCATTTCATTAAGTGGCACCGCCATTAACTCAGTCATCAGGCCCGAACCTAACAATCAACTCTGATTTCTTTTTGTCCTTTCACACGCTATGTCCCAAATCCAAATCCATTCCAATCAAAATGTATCTAAATAAAATAAAATAGCCTTCTTCTCATCCTGTCCGTGGCTGCCAGGCTAGTTAGTCCAAGCTACTTTACTGGTATCCCAAGGACATCCGTGCTTCCCCATTGTGTATTTTACACACATCAGCAAGACTAACTTTTAACAATGTGAATCAGATGCGGTCATTCCTCGGCTCACCCTTCTCTCATGGTTTCCAGTTGCTGTTATAATGGCCCACAGGCTTCACTGGATCTGGCTACTGGCCCGCCTCTCCGAGCCTAGCTGGTACTGCTCTTGGGCTGGCTGACGCTGCTCAGCCATGCTGGCCTTTCACTGTTTCTGCAACATGGCAAGCGTATCTCCACCTCTGGGTTTACGGCTGATTTTCTCTCAGCCTGGAAAGGCTATTCCTCCTCCCGGCCCGCGTGTTTGCAAGACTTATTCCTTCATCCCGTGTGTATGCGCTCAAAGGTCTTCTTCGAGAGGCAGTATCTCACCAGGTGTAAAGTCACCCTATCCCCTGCTTTATTTTTCTCCACACCACTTATCATTACCTGCAATTTTTGTCACTTGTTTGTTGTCTGTCTTCCCTCTCCCACTCCACTAGCACGCGAGCTGCAAGAGGGTATTTGCCTACTCTATGGCTTTATCGCTCTGCGTTTAGTGACAACAGCGCCTGGAACCTAACAGGTGCTCAATTAGGGCTTGTCGAATGATTGCGTTCCCTCCAAATGCTCTTCCTGAATCTTTGGACCATTCCTCATTTTTTTTCCGGTCTTACCCACCTCCCATCCCGCCCTATGCAAAGCTAAAACTCCCCGCCCCTTCCCGGTAGTTCCAGGCTTTCCCGGCTCCTATGTGCGCGGCTCCTTTAAGCTGACTCCGGAACGCCGCGGGGAAGGCGGGGCCGAAGCCCAGCTGTCGCCAACTTGGAGGGGCGGGGCAGAACAGGGGGGCGGGGCCTGCGTGCTGCGTGCGTGCGCGTTCTGGAGGAGGCGCCGCCGCCGCTCCCGAGGCCGCCGCCGCCGCCGCTGCCGTCGCCGCGCAGAGCCGTAGCCGGAGCCGGAGCCACGGCCGAGAGGAGGGAGGAGGAGGAGGAGGAGGAGGTGGAGGAGGTGGAGGAGGTGGAGGAGGCGCTGGACCGGGGGGGTGAGTGAGGGGCGGGGAGCCCCAGACGGCCCCAGAGGGAGCGGGGGGCGCGGGTCGGCCGAGCAGAGGGTGAGGCGGCTCATGTCGCCGGTCAGTCGCCTGGCTCCCCCTTCCTCCTCCGCGTTCCGTCGGTGTCCGGGGCGGCGGCCCGGGGGCCTGGCCGGCGGGAGGGGCCGGGGATCTGGGAGGCCCGGCCGCAGCCAGGACCAGGGCCAGCCACGCCCGCGGACCGACCCGGTCGACTGTAGGCCTGCGGGAGACCGTCGGGAGGGGCCCCGGCCGGCTGTGGGAGAGAAAGAGGACATTGTGTCCCCCACCCTTCAACTCCCTGAGGTGTCATAGCACAAGCCCATTTACCTCGCCGTCTCCCCAGACACGGTGCCCTCGTCCCTCACTGCCTGAGAGACGTAGAAGGTTGGACATCGCTGCCTTCCTCCTCTTGCATGTCCCCTGTCTAGGGTCAGAGCTTCCTTCAAACCCAGCTCTCTTTTTTGGGCCGGAGGGAGGGGCGGGGGGACACACGGGGAAGGGGGTTGGAGGGTTGGGTGAATTCTCTGTTCTCTGCTGTAGAAGTGCGGGTAGACTGGAGCGTTGCTGTCTCCGGGCTCACTTCTGTCAGGGTTCAGGGTCTCCCTTTCCTTCCTTTATTCCCCCAGTGAATAGGGCTGACATCTACATCCCACTCCACCTTCCAGCCCCTTTCCCGCCTTCTTTACCCCCCTGTCTTCCGTAGCTTACCATGTGTTCGCCTTTTCAATGTTACTTTTCATGCGTCTCTGCTTCTTCCCTGAATTTTGTTAGGGAAGAGGTCACGGTGTGATTCTTGTTATCCTTCAAACTAGCGTTGGTGAGAGTATCTCTTGCCCCCTTACCCAGGAAGTTAAGGACAGTGTCTTCAGCCGAATTGTGTAATTTACTGCTACGGGGAGAAGATGAGAGGAAGACATTTGTGCCTACAAAATGGGATCTCCTCATAGAGCTGAGAACCAGAGTTTAGGGAACCTTTGACCTCTTGGAAAAAGAACTGCCGTTGAGGAGTAATGCATTCTGTTTTGGAGGGAAAATAGTTTTGTTACTTCTTTGAAGGGAGGAGGTATAAAAAATGAAATAAAATAATAGGGCAGAAGGTGAATGAGCCACAGCCCTACAGGTGGCCACTCTTCTCCTTAGGTGGCGGATGATAGTTCTGTTTTTATTACAGTAAGAGTAAAGCATCAGCTCTTAGATTTAACTTGGGGCTCCTACCGTCAAAAGCATGAAGGGCCGTCTCAGAAGAGATGCTGCTGGAAACAGGATTTGGAAACTTTCTTTGGGTTTCCTGTCAGAATGTGTGGGGGTGGACATGCCTATGTGTAGTTTTTCTTTCCTTGTGTTGTAATTTATTTCTGTGATACTTTGACATAATAAGCGTTAAATTAGGCCCCAGACTTTCTGTCTTTATTATGCTTTCCTGTAACATTTTTGTTTTGAAATTATATGGTTCGATATTCTTTTGTAGCGTGATATTTCAGTGAATCCTGTCTAGTTTCTTTGGTGTTTTAAATTACGGTCTACTTCAGATACGATTAGCTGTTAGGTATTGAGGATCATATGTTCAGGATTTGTTGAATGAATTGAATGATTACAAAGATGAGTCCAGGTGTTAAATCTTCTGTCCTTTTGAGAGGTACCCTATATTAGGATATTGCAGTCCATTTCCAGTTTGCAAAATAGTAATTCTTAACCTTTTCTAGGCCACTGACACCTTTGAGAATATGATGAAATATATAAACTCTCTTCCCAGAATAAAGTTAATAGGCATTTATTCACAAAATTTTGCATTAATTTTAGGGACCCTCTGAAGCCAACCATGAACATCTGTCTTAGAAGTGAACTGGATGGAATCCCTCAGTGTTACACAGTTAGATATTAACTCAAAAGCCTTTGTTCACTCTTTGTATGGCCTCAGGAAGGACAGTATCTACACTTAATATACCCCAGACGACAAGTATATTCATATACGTTGATCTTGTAGTCCTTCTGGAAATGAATCCCAAGGAAATATTCCAAAAGAAAGAAAATGTTGTGTATGCACATGTTCGTTTAGTTATTTTAATAGATGAGAAGAAAAGGAAACTACTGGCCCAACAGCAGAAAGATACACAGTTTTGCAGTCACTGAAAAAGGTTAGAAATAAAGATTATTAATCTCCTGATTGATCTTCCAGCTTCCACTCTTGCCCCTCCACCCCAAGTTGATTTCCACACAGCAGCTACAATGATGCTCACAAACTTCAGAACAAGTCTTTTTTCTATTCAAAACCCTCCAGTGTTTTCCCATCTCGGCGGTAAAATCCAAAGTTCTTACCATGGCCTACAAGCCTTACAGCGGCCCGGCTATTTCTTGAATCTCAAGCCCCTTTACTTTTCCTGTTGCTTACTGTACTCCAGCCACTCTGGCTTCCTAGTTCCCAAAAAGGTAAAATACACTCAGGTGTCTGCACTTGATGTCCTCTCTGCCTGTAATATATCCCTCACTTCCTTCAGGTCTCTGCACCAGTCTCAGTCTTCCCTCACTACCCTTCCCTGCCACTGTTTCAATCTCCTTACCCTGCCTTATACTCTGAAGACTAGGTTATACTAATTTTGACAGCCACAGTTGTTGACAAACGTTTCATGGTAATGCCAGTGCTATACTTGCATTGGACATTATTGTTTAACATTTGAAAAACAATGTCAGTCATAAAAGGAGATCTTTCAGATTGTTAAGTTGAATATTTCAACAGCTCACATTTAAAGTTCGGATGTTAGCTTACCTCTCTTCAACATTTAACTACAGGGTGCTAATTGTTGGATACAGAGATGAATTAGACAGGGTCTCTGCCCTCAGGGGGTTTCACAGTCTGTCATGATTTGTATTGTAATAGTTAAGTTACTCCAGATCTTGCCAGTGTTTAGTGTTACCTATGAACTTTAGTGTATGGTTGATGATATTTTATATAAAATAGGGATTAGACATCCAAATTTTCATGTCGGTAGTTGTTTTTTTCCTTACAAAGGGATATTTTTAAAAATTAAAAGAAGAGTCTTGCTCTGTCACCCAGCCTGATGTGCAGTGGTGCAATCTTGGCTCACTGCAACCTCTGCCTCCTGGGTTCAAGCGATTCTCCTGTCTCAGCCTCCTGAGTAACTGGGATAACAGGTACCCACCACCACGCCCAGCTAATTTTTTCTTTTTTTTTTTTATTGTTAGTAGAGATGAGATTTCACCATGTTGGCCAGGCTGATCTCAAACTCCTGACCTCCAGTGATCCGGCCACGTTGGCCTCCAAAAGTGTTGGGATTATAGGTGTGAGCCACTGTGGCCAGCAACAAAGCGATTTTTAATGGTATCTGTAATTTGTTTAATTTCTGTTTTGTGTGCTGTTTTTAGAATTTTATAGCTGTGACAGCCCCATGTTTTGTTCTTTGCAGTAAATTGTGTAGGTACTTAGTTGTAGACTCACAGTTGAATTTTTTTGTTGTAATTCTTTATAGTTGTTCAAGAGACTTTTTTTTTTTTTTTTTTTTTTGAGACAGAGTCTTGATCTGTCACCCAGGCTGGAGTGCAGTGATGTGATCTCAGCTCACTGCAACCTCCGTCTCCCAGGTTCAAGGAATTCTCCTGCCTTAGCCTCCTGAGTAGCTGGGATTACAGGTGTGTGCCACCACACCCGACTAATTTTTGTATTTTTTTTAGTAGAGACAGGGTTTCACCATGCTGGTCAGGCTGGTCTCGAACTCCTGACCTCATGATCCGCCTGCCTCGACCTCTCAAAGTGCTGCCTTCGTGTGACTGAGACTATTGTTTTTGTTAAATAGGTCAACCTTGAAATTTTATTTGGTTTATAGGGGATGATGATACCAGTTTTGATAGAAAACTATACCATTTTGAGGGCTTTGCCCAGTATTTCTGGTTCTGGAACCTAGATGGCTTACTTTGACATAGGTGGGGAGCTTTGACATCTATACAAGGGAGTGCGTTGAATCATTTGAGTTACTTGAAAGCACCTTGCTCTGTTTCTGACATGTGATAGGGACACCGTAAATGTTCATTGAACCTCAGATAACTTCTAATCTCGTGGTTCTAAAATTCTCTTTAGTTGATCAATGAAAATAACTAATGTAAAGCATTTATATTTTAATATTGAGATACATTGAATGTAAGTTTACTTGTTTATAATGTCACTTTCCAAATTAATTGGTTGTAACAATTAATTGATTACACCTAATCATTTGTAAGAAGAGTTACGGCCTATTTCCAAGAATGTTTTGCTTATTCTGATGTCATGTAAGTGCTGCATTACTTAATGCCAGATTCATATCTTGTGAAACAGATTAGCATTAAACAAAAATATTTAAGCTTTAGTATGTTACTGAGACAGATGAAGTGTCCATTTTTTCTTTTATTGTGTGCATGAAGTATGGGAATTACAAGCATTCGTTTTTATGTGATTTTCAGTTTTTCATATACAAAGATGATGTTAATATTAGCTCATTTACATTTTGAAACTTTTGTAATAGTGGTATAGATTTGCACGGCATAATTCACGTTCTCTCAGTCCCCTACACACAGTTGTGAGATGACTGGTTAAGAGGGCACTTTGTTTCAAAGTTAAATGATCCAGATGAGTATTGAACCTATAAGCTTAGCTTTGTTCATTATCATGAGGTTCTGATCAACAAAGCAGTTCAACAGAGAACCATGCCGTGCTCTCATTTCTGCTTGAAAATAAACCTTTTAGAGGTAGAAGGTACGAACACGCATATACACATGCACCAATAAAAAAAGGAAATTGTGTATGGTTATTAAGGTAGAGTTGAAACAGGAAATAACGTGCTTTTATAAGTGGTTTAAAATAATTCTTTTAATAAAATTTTCAGAAGTACATGATATCCACATGGAAAATTAAATGTTTTATGAAATAAACTCCAATCAGTAGACAAGGTAATGGCTTTTTAAAAAGTACTAATGACTTATTTACTTAGGCTATATAAATTTAGGTTAGATAAATCTGAAAAAAATTTCTTTATAAGTCACTCAAATTTTCCCAGTGTTTCTTACCTCTAACCTGTTTAGTTTATACTGATAGAGTGGTTCAAAGTGTTAAAGTTAACCAAATTTAAAATTAAATATGTATTCATATGTTTTAGTGTCTGAATGTATTTAAATTAGGCCATATTTCACAAGAATAGCAGTATATTAAACTCAAAAAAAATGAATAAAAGATACTATTGGATTAATTAAAACTTGAAGTGCCTTACCTTGAACTCCTAGGTGTATACACCTATAACATGTTACTACTCATTCATGGTTTTTTGCAGTGCAGTGCTGTACCCACTTATTCTGGATGTAAAAGATAATTTTGTTCATGATAGGACTGTGGTTTAGCTGTC